CAGGACTCTAGGGGTTAGTAGTTAGGCCAGTACTTCCAACAGGCACAAAACACCAAAAAGGTGAAACAGGTGAGTATATGTGCAGATATCCATCCAGCTGAAGTGCCTTGAAAGAGTTGAGACTGCAGACTTGAGAGAGCTTTTGAACTGCGAGAATCAGCTGGCGGGGAAGACAACGGAAGAACCGCAACCGACCAGGGTGTCATCCTAGAGCCCGATGAGGAAGCTCCCTGCTGTAGATCAAAGCCCAAACTCTGGAAACATTTGCGTAGATCAGCCAGGGACGATGCTTGATATTGTTGATCACGGTAAGTGAAAAAAAGTTTAAAGGGAAAGCCCCTCACAATGTTGGCTTGCAGTACCTGGAGGTAAGGATTCAAGCTGCGCCTTTTCGCAATTGTAGAGGGAGCCAAGTCCGCATAGAGTTGTGGGCTGTGGGAGGTCTGGGACCAACTCTTGGAAGAAAGCAGTCGCAGTCCAAACCAGATCAGTGACAGATTCGGGCAGGCCGCGAAGTCGTAGATTGTCACAATCAGCCCGGTTTTCAGTATCTTCTTGTTTATCCCACAACTGCTGAAGTTCCTCACACAGAGTTTTTTGTGACTTTCGAAAACCGTGGTAGCATCATCCATTCAGTGTTCCAAGGAGCAGGTGCGAAGGCCTAGATCCTTAATTTCACGGAGGAGTTCCGTAGAGAGCCGTTTGAGGCCGTAGCAACTTCCTCTCTGATGATAGAGCGAAATTCGCAAAGGAAAGAGTAATCAACCGGGTCTGGAGTAGGAAGAAGAGCAGAGGAATAAATATACTAAAATGTGCAGAGCTCAAAAGAACTGTCATAAAAGTGAAGGAGCAATGTGACATAACATGTCAATAAACAGTGTCAGAATATGTATAAATCATATCAAAATATGTATATAATCACAAAACATGTGTGAATATATTGAAACAAAATAACTGTGAAAAAAATCCCATATAAATAAAAATCAAAGTGCAATCAAACAATGAAGTAGTGAAGTTCTAAATCCAGTGGAAATAGTGAGCTGAAGAGTGATCTTCTATCAGGAAAAACGTGCAGACTGCACACCAGAAAGATACTTCAATCCACAATTGGTGAATAGTGATTAACAGGTGGGTGCTCACCTAGGATAATGACTCAAAAGAGGTCATTAAGCGCTGTTCCCTTCTAAAGGTGGCCATACACTTTACAACCATCGCAAGACCTTAGTCTTGCGATGGTTGTAAAGTAATTAAAAACACGTACGATCTGCCCATCTTGGACAAGCAGATCGTACTCTCGATCATCGCAAGCCCGCCCCCCTGAGGGGCGGGTTTCCGATGACCGCAATCCTGAACGGGCAGTGTGCGCGTGCGCACACCGGCCCGTTCGGCATTTGTCTCCCGAGCACCGTTCAAACCAGCCGAAAATCGTACGATTTTCGGCTGGTTTTCTAGCGTGCTCCCTAGACAAAAGACGTGCGACCGTGCAGTAGAAACGGTCGCACGTCTTCATTCACACTGCTCGATTCTCGTACGATCGCGGGATTTCCCACGATTCTCATACTAGAATCGAGCAGTGTATGGGCACCTTTAGCAGGGAGGGACACCTTTTAGGCGCTGACTCCGGCTATGCTCATAGCAGATGCACATTAGTGGAATCCATCTAAAAAGAGACAAAAAGAAAACACATAGCGCGTATCGCCAAATAAATAAAATCTTTAATGCATAAAACATACTCAAAAATATCTCATATGAGTAAGGCAAGGAAAGAACTCTCAGTACGAAATCCAGCACGTGCATAAAAGAACGAGGAAATCCTCCTGTCCTGACCAAGAGAATGACCTTGGCAGCTCCGCCCACCCTACGCGCATTACATCTCACGTGACTTCATCAGGGGTGTGGAGTCACTGGCCTCCAGATCTCTATTTCAATTTAAAAGGACCCACCCCTTTTCCAAATACCCAATAAAGAAGGGCCCAATTACAGCCGGCCCTAAACATGAAAGCACCGAGAATGACATGAACAGATCGGTGTAGTGGCCATCAACAAAGATGAAAGCTCAGAAGCAGGGAAGGACATACATTCTCTATATATAATAGAACATGAATAATAAATGAATACAATTACAATAATGACCTGATGAATATAAAATCAATAATCTTAATAAAACACATAGACAATCAAGCATTAGAAATAAAGCAATTAAGGTCAAATTCGACATTAAGACCAGATGGTTTTAAGGACCCTGCTTTAAAAATCCAAAATGATTCTTTTTTAGCTAGTTCTCTTCGCCAATTACCTCCCCTCCAGTGCTTAATTTTTTTTTCTATGCCCAAGAACTGTAAATTTGTAGGATCTTTGTGGTGAACGTCTCAAAAATGTTTACAGACTGAATGTTCTTTGTAGCCCCTTTTTATATTATAAATATGTTCTTTTATTCGGGTGCCCAGTTTTCTAGTGGTGCACCCAATGTACTGTAAACCACAGGGGCGCTCTAATCCATCAACTACACCTTCTATGTCACAGGATATGAATTGTTTAATGGCCACCCTTTCACTACTAGTATTAATCTTAAAATGTTTAAGCCGTTTTAGATTATTAGGGGCAAGTCTGCACGCCTGGCACCATCTACATGAAAAGAAGCAGACTGCACCCAAAAAAGTAGCTGTTGGGTTACTCCTCGGGGGGGGGGATGTGTCGACCACACTCCTTGCCACAATATCCTTAATGGAGCGAGTTTTTTTATAAACAAATTTCGGTTTATTGGGTATCACTTTCTTTAATGTATCATCTAATAGTAGAAATGTTTAGGTGCCGTGTGCAGCCTCCCATTTAAGTCAACAGTTGTGGCTGTGGGTGGACATATGCTGGTACCTCCATACATCAGTGCGTGGGGACAGATGCAACTGTAGATGCAGGCTGTATCCATAATTGTACCTCTGTGCATGCAGGCAGGGGCGTAATCAGGTAACAGTGTATACCTGCTCACAGTCATAGGAGGCTGTATGCAGCACCTGTAGCTCCCTGGAGAAAATACACCACTATGTACATCCCATGTCAGGTGTGTGCGGGGAGTCATCAGGGATCTGAACAAAGGTGCCCATACACTCTTCGATTTTCATTCAGAAATCTTCCACGAATGGTCGTTCGAATGAGAATCAAACATTTGATGGGATACTAACGATTTTTTTTTACTGTAGTCCCGCTTGAATTTTCTCAAACGGTGAGGCTGGAAAACTTTTTTCATATCAAACAAAAATCGATGGATTAGCGGCGCTTTCCTACTTAAAAAATTGCTAACAAATGATTATCGAAATCGACATTTGTCTGTGCTTGATGGGCTATTTGAGCTTGAATTGAACAAGGGTTCTTGGCAGCAATGAAAATTTCCGATCGAAAATCTATAGGTGTATGGCCAGCCTTACAAGTCCCATCTACCGCCATAGCAGAGTGACTAATAGATCTCAATAGAACACAAGCATAGTGACGTCATACTAGTAGTCTATTAAGTGCTTCCTCCATCTCCATAACCAGGGTTGGATTAACAGCACCAGCTCCAGGCCCACCATTGAAAATAGGCCCAGATCACCTGTATGCCTGATGGCAATCCAGGGCGGCTGGGCTGAACACAATCAGGCAGAGGCATCAATGTTCTATAATTTTTCTGGACCTCATAAGAATGCTGGACTGCGTAACTTCCGGTGACGCGGTTTCAGCTGTTGGAGGTCTGCTAGGCTCAATGCTCATGCACCATTGTTCTATAATTTTTCCTGACACATAAAATGTATTGACTGTGTCACTTCCGGTACGGCCACGTCAGCTGAATCAGCTGTTTTCCTCAGTCGTTGCACCCACAGTTACTTGTCCCGTGGGCTGTCCCCGGTTTTCAGCAGCGGGATCTCTGACACCACCTGGCAAGTGGCCTGTAATTTTCCTTGGCTGCGTCACTTCCAGGTGAGAAGTGCGTCACTTGCAGGTAGGGCATCAGGAAAACATCTAAGGAGGATCACCAGAAATGACATGGTTCAGCATTAGTATACTAACAGACCGCACTATCCAGAGAATTCCAATACTGCAGATGTTTCATGTGAGAGGTTGTAGTTGGTTGGGAGTGTGCAGTGCTGGCATTTGTAGCTTTATACACTTTTTCACTGATATACTGGATTTGCTGTGAATTTTAATAAAGTCTGCAGTATTGGAATTCTCTGGATAGTGTGGTCTGTTCGTATACTGCTGCATTCTAAGGTGGAGATACACCTATTGGACCAGCACCTGTGGAGTCCTGATGGTGGCTAAGGAATTGAAGCAGTGAGATTTCTTTTGGCTCTAAATGGTTCAGCATTCTTATGATTTCCAGAAAAATTATAGAACACTGGTGGCTCTCTACTCAGGGTTCCCAGCGAGGAGCGAGCAGCAACCTAATTAGAGAGTCTCCCCTGCTGCATCCCACCCAGTCCTCAGCACCAGGCCCATGATGCTCTTAATCCAGCCCTGTCCATAACACAAGCAGTGTACCTCGATATGGACCTGGGAAAGTACCGGCAGGAGCCTGTGCAATCCACTGATCACTGATCTAGGAGCTCCAATGCAACCAAATGATTACATGCTATTTTTTTCCTTTTATCAATGTGTGTGCATTTTTTTAAAGTTGGACTCTACCTTTACACATCTCTTAAGAAATTGAGAAATCAGCCATTTCTAAGCATCAGAATTTGTCCCAGATGTTAGGTATGAATTTAACTAGCTATTTATTATTCATATAAAACACCCCGCCGGAAGTCTCTGTGCTGTGTCACCTCAATGAATAAGCTGGCAGGTACAGTCATGTGAATACATGATCCATGCCGAGCTATTGTACACCTGGAGAAAGGCCCGCCTCCTATACTTATTCAGCCAATCAGCGCACATCTGCCCAGCCTCTCCCGGAAGCGAAGACCCCTAATGCAAGCTGACCTGGTACTCTGGATGAGGAGGCGGGGCTGGGTAGGAGCAGCTAGGGTTTTCGTGTTCGGTCCTTTATCAGTGTAGGAGAGTCGAACGGGACGTCATGTTGTCACGGCGAATCCCGGCGGAGACAATGGATAGCGAGGCGGATAACGGTAGGTGATCCACAGGAAACAATATCGGGCGCCCCCGAGTCCCACCTGATAATGGTAAACTCCGCCCCCCCAGCTCATTGCAGGCATTACTCCACCTGACAACTTCACTTGTCATAGAGAACTATAGACATCTGTATTATTTAGTGTAGTCTGATTTCTATGATAGACATTGGGGACCTATTTCAGGTTTTCCACTAACAATGTCAACAATGTTTATTACTGATCACATTGCCCAATACCATGCCTGAGATGTTGAGATCTGTTGTAGCTGCTGCAAACGTTCCTTAAAGGAGAACTATGAGATGAGTGATTTCCACTCACCTCATAGTTCTAAGCCGACCTGTGACAATGAGACTGTCACAGGTCGGCTCAGTAGATCGGGAGGTGAGGGAACACATACCGGGTTCCCTCACCTCTCGATCCTGTCACGGCTCTCTGCCGTGACAGGGGGAGGGGCTGGATTCCCCTCTCCCCGCTCCGATCTGCCCGCGCTGACTGGCAGAACGGACGGGGGAGGGGGCGGGTACAGCTGGCTCTGCCTCTAGATAGGCAGAGCCAGCTGTCACTCACGCAGCTGGGCGGATCCCGTCATCTATGTCGGGATCCGCTCCAGGTGCGGCGTCTCAGTATACTGAGCTTAGGGTAACGGGAGGACGCTAGTTTGTGTCCTCCCGTTACCCTAAGGAGAACTATGGGGAAAAACACTGACCCCATAGTTCTCCTTTAAAGTCATATTAAAGTCCAAAAGGCTTCAAAGCCATTTCAAATGCTGATCGAATCACTTACAGTGGATGCTGCTCCAAAATGTTTTCAAAGTTTTAGTTTCCTTCAGAATCAGCTGGTTACCTGAGCGCTGGCCCTGATATCTGGTTTAGGGTTGCTCCTTTTCCTTGCATGGCCCTATAAAGCCCCCCTTATGCGTGCTAGTAAGTTGTGTGTTTCTTCACAAATACACAGCCACAGCAAAGTAGGCCACTTGCTCCCTGCTCTCCACTCCTTCTCCATGCTAGTAGATGGACAGCTGCCGGAGACTCGGCTGTCCCTTGTGATCTTGTACTCAACAGGAAGTTCAGGGAAGCAGAGCTTAGAAATGTGAAAACATGATGACTGTAAGTGCTTGGGCAAGAATGTAAAGAAATGCTTTGCTGAACAATGCATATTTGATTTGAATGGAAAAAAAGGTTTGAGAGTGTAATACTACCTTAATCACGGTCAAAAGCAGGTCAAATTAGCCTCAGAACTTACACCTGCGCTGGGGCTTGGTCCTTAAAGTAAACCTGTGCCCCCAGCAACATATGCTTATCTTTTTTGTTCCCCCGCTCCTGTTTAGCACTGGGAGTCAAATAACTTTCCCAGGTAATTCAAGGATATGGAAAAACATGTGACAAAACTAGGCCAAGCTACATGGACACATGGATCTGTAGCCTTGTGTAAGCTACAGCTCAACTTGCTCCCAGCTTTGTATCACAGTGGAAAGAAAGTCAGGTAATTATATGCATCTTTGGAGGTTTGCATTACAGCGAACCTGTTGCTTTGCTCTTCATTGAAAAGGCAAAGATTCTCTTTAAAGGTGGCCATACACTTTACAACCATCGCAAGAACTTAGTCCCGCGATGGTTGTAAAGTTAATTAAAACAACGTACAATCTGCCCATCTTGGACAGGCAGATCGTACTTGCGATCATTGGAAACCCGCCCCTCTGGCGGGTTTCCAATGACCGCAATGCTGAACAGGCATTTGTCTCCTGAGCATCATTCAAACCAGCCGAAAATCGTACGATTTTCGGCTGGTTTTCTAGCATGCTCCTTAGACAAAAGATGTGCGACCGTACAGTAGAAACGGTCGCACGTCTTCATTCACACTGCACGATTCTCGTACGATCGCTGGATTTCCCACGATTTTCGTACGAGAATCGTGCAGTGTATGGGCACCTTAAGGGCTTGTGTCTGTGAAGGTTCTCATTCATCCAGGCCATGGTATATCTGTAAAAAATAAGTCAAGGCAGCTGGACTTGCTATATTTTTCTTGAAGACATTTCACTGGACATTCGACCAGCTTTCTCAATTCAGAATGACTTACAAAAAATTATCTGAGAATAAATATAGTGAATTTCGCTCCAATCCACATAATCTGTAAATCACAACCAGGTGTTGATTTCATTTGATCTCCTGTCACAGAGCCGTGCCGGTCCCGACTGCATCGGGGCACAGCGGATCTTGGGACCGGCAACGGCAGTGGCAACTGATAATACAAACGATCGAGCATCTCTAGAGACGCTCGATCGCTTGAATGTAAAGCTCCCGGCCGGCCGTGTAATTACAACAGCCGGCTGGGAAGCTGCTCGTCGGGCTCCGCCGTCCTCTCGTCACAGACGAGCGGACAAGTGGATTTTTCAAGCCCTGTGGATGACACTTGGGTTAAGATTCACAAACAAGAGTTACAGGCTTTCACTGACCATATCAACTCAGTGGATCATAACATCAAGTTTGCGCTGGAAGATATGCAAAGCAACAAACTGGCTTTTTTGGACTGTTTAGTAACAGTAAAAGAAGTAAGGAGGCTGGAAATAGAGGTCTACCGAAAACCAACACACACGGACCAGTACCTGCTATTTGACTCCCACCACCCTTTAGACCACAAACTGGGAGTCATCAGGACTCTACACCACCGGGCAGAGAAAATTCCCACCAGTACGGAGGCCAAGACGAATGAATTCAAACACCTCAGGGGGGCCTTAAAACTTGCAGGTATCCAGACTGGGCTTTTGTCAAAACAGAAAGAAGCTTGACAAACGGAAGAATTTTGTCATGTAGAAACTCAGAAGGGTTTTTAAAAAAACATCACATCCCTGTCTGCTCTAAACCCAGCAATACACTGAGTTACAGCTGGTTCATCCAAAAGGTCCAACGCCAAGATGAACAACGTTGTGTATGCAGTCCAGTGCAGTGAGGAGTGCTCAGAATTGTATGTTGCTGAAACAAAACAGCAGCTACACCAGCGTATGGCACAGCATAGAAGAGCAAAACCCTCTGGTCAGGATTTGGCAGTATACCTACATCTAAAGGAAATAGGTCACTCCTTTGAAGACAGTCAAGCACGCATCCTAGACAGGGAGTGTAAAAGAGGTGTGAAAGGGGCCATTTATGTAAAAATGGAGAAGCCAAGTTTGAATAGAGGTGGGGGGTGAGACATCTATTGTCTGCCACACACAGTGCTGTTTTAACACCTCTCTCTGGGCAGGTTAATAACACCTCCTAGGCTCCAATTATGCAAATGCAATCAACACTTAGTTGTGACTTACAAATTATGTGCATATTCAGAAACAAAACCCATCTACACAGTCCAAACACCAGGCTGCATATTCAGAAACAAAGCCATTCTACACAGTCCAAACACCAGGCTGCATATTCAGAAACAAAGCCCATCTACACAGTCCAAACACCAGGCTGCATATTCAGAAACAAAGCCCATCTACACAGTCCAAACACCAGGCTGCATATTCAGAAACAACGCCCATCTACACAGTCCAAACACCAGGCTGCATATTCAGAAACAACGCCCATCTACACAGTCCAAACACCAGGCTGCATATTCAGAAACAAAACCCATCTACACAGTCCAAACACCAGGCTGCATATTCAGAAACAAAACCCATCTACACAGTCCAAACACCTAACCCCATATTCAGAATCAAAACCCATCTACGCAGTCCAAACACCAGGCTCCATATTTACAAACAAACCCTTACTACAGAGTTCAAACACCAAGCTCTTTATTCAGAAACAAAGCCCATCTACACAATCCAACCACCTAGCTCCATATTCAGGAACAAAGTCCATTTACACAGTCCAATCACCAAGCTCCATATTTGGAATGACCATCTGCACTGGCCTTAAAAAAATGAATTCACAAGTTGTAAATTAAATAATACTTTTAAATCCTAATTCAGCCCTTAGGTGGGGAAGTGCTTTAACTTCTGTCAGGATTTTATTGGTGTTTGTGACTCCGTTGGGGAGATTTCCACTCATTATCTGTTCTTCTGTCTCATGGACAGGAAATATGGGGGAAATTCTTCCATTAAAGGGACAAACCGCACTCAGTGCTGTGTTTTTGCCCTGAAAATGTGACTTTCGTTCCTGTCCTGGTTATACCTTTATGGGGGGGATTTATCAAAACTGGAGCAGACAAAATCTGAAGCAGTTGCCTATAGCAACCAATCAACTTCTCTCTTCAGTTTGTTCAGTTAAGCTTTGAAAATAAAAGGTGGATGCTGATTGGTTGCCATGCACAGCTACTCCAGATTTTGTCTGCTCTAGTTTTGATAAATTCCCCTCTCTGTGTTTTGGTGTGACAGTGTGTCATTGGAACTGGATGTAATAGGAAATCTCTGTTTGAAACTACAAAAAGAGTTTAGTATGGCTTTAAATATAGCTTTTCGAGCAGCTTTAATTTGCTGGTGGCTAAAAATGATCACATTGTTTAGCTTACAGAAAGTTACATTCAGTGGGAACTCAACAATAGCCATCATTGATTTTCACATTCAGCATATAATTACTAAATGTCAGGGAACTGAAGTCATTGGAGTAGGCCTCAGTTGAAAGATATGTTTTGGCTGTAGCAACTGATCTCTCCCTTCTATCTAGTTGGTATTGGCAGCACAGACTATTCCTTTTTGTATCATTTAAGGCATTAGAATCAGTTTTATTTATTACAGGTATTTTTATTGCGCCAACAATTTACACAGCCCTTTACAAAGTGCACATTCACATCAGTCCCTGTCCTCAAGGAGCTTACAATCTCAGGTCCCTATTGTGCATGCATACAGGGCCAATTTAGACAGGAGCCAATTAACTTTCCAGCATGTCTATGGAGTGTTGGACGAATCCCACACAAGCACAGGGAGAACATCCAAACTCCTTGCAGATAGTGTCGTGACCAGGATTCGAATTGGGGACCCCCAATGCTGCAAGGCAGAAGTGTGAACCACTAAGCCACTCTTC